TCCCCGCCCTCACCCAGGCACTGCCTCCTCTTCGCCCGCCCAGGGCCCTCCAATGGGAAGGGATGGGGAGCTAACCAATCAATTGGGTCTCTTCCTGGGTTGGGTGGGCACCTGTTTGTGTACTGTACCCATTTTCAAGTCCCAAGGTGGAGAACGAAAGGGCAGGGTGATGGGGATGGCCGGCCAGGGGAGGGAGGTGGAAAGGGGAGGGGACCCAGTCTAAGCAAAAACAATCCCGGAGCACCTCCTCCTTAGGAGTGGGAGGAGGGAAAGAAAGCTGAAAAAGATTCTTCTTGGTAGAAAGGGTGACACTCCCTGGGCAGACTCTTGCCCAACTGTTAGGAAGTGGACTTGAACCTCCACGCGTTTGTCTTGCAACAACTGAGAAGAAACCAAATCGCTTTATTCTGCCTGTCCCCACAGGGCACTGGAGGCTTCTTTATTTTCTGTAGGGGAGGAAGCAGGCAGAGACTGGCGACCCCTGATCAAAATCACTTTCATTTCTTGTGACACTCTTTCAAAACAGACCTGACTTCCTGCCAGAGGTTGACCTTTTCAGGAAAGGGCCCAGCCAAGGGTCTTCTTGAAGCGCAAACCTAACAACTGGGCTGGTGCGCAGGATCCGGGGAGCAGGGTTTCCTTGTGCTGAATATGTGGCTATGGGTAGGAACCAACTGGAAGCACCTACCACCACCACCACGACCGCCTCCTCCACCACTATCATATACCATGTATTATTCTGTGATTAATATTGACAATCAACATTACTAAAGATTCTGGATGGTCTGTTATGAGGAGGCCCACAGGGGAGTAAGGGGTGACACCGATTCTAGAGATGCGACTGGTGGCCAGGGATCCTGTGTAACTAGTTCCATGTAGTGCCAAGTACAGGGAGTTCCCAGTCAGGAGCCCAGACAGCACCTGCCCTAGAGGGTGATCCTGGCTTTGCTACCTGTGTGGTCATTACATAAGGAAAAGAAATAGGACTATGGACAAGAGCAATGGGACTGTGGGGGGATGTTCTGATCATAACTCTTTGTTGAAGGAGGGATACATCTTCAATAGCTCTGACTCCAGAGTCTTAGGAGAGGAGCAAATGCCACCTCTCCTAACAAAGTAAAGGTTCATCTCGCTGTAGGAGAGAACAGACAGGCACTGGGCTCTCTCTAGCCGAGCAGATAGCTTCGTGCCCCAGATTCATGTCCTAGGTAGAACACCAGGTCGACATTTTGGCAGAGGGACAGACACGTGGCAGGGCAAGGGACTTCGGATCAGCTGCCTCAGGTGCAAACTGCTGTGAGCCAAGTAGCCTAGGCCAGGCAAACTCCTCTCTGCACGCGCAGAGCAGCCCCGCAGCCGAGCCCTGAGATCCTATTTTTGACTCTTCCCCTCCAGCCTCCCCCACCCAGAAGCCAGGTCCCAGGAGGTAATTAGTGTGGGGGAGAGGCGAAGCCTCTGAGGGGGCAGGGAGATGAGAAAGTACGGGTGGGGGCGGCCCTTCTTGTCATAGGTCTCGCGAAGAGAGGAGAGGAGAGCAAGCGAGTGAGAAAAAGGGAGATTTTTGTTGATTTATTTTTTTTGTCATTTTTGCATGTGAGGCATACCTAATGATATTCCCACAGACAGACAGACAGGCAAACGAAGAGAGGGACAGACAGGACACAACTTGCGCGTTTGGAATCGTTCATACCCCCAAATCCGGGACGCAGCCTGTTGTCATAACCATCGAGTAAACCGTCCAGGATGCGGGTAAAATTTTCCGGGCATAATTTCTCTTCCTTTTGGTTCTGTCCTGGGGATTCGTTTAAACTGAAAGTGGAAAAATAAATAAATAAACACGACGAAGAACCAAAACAAACACGGGGGCGGGAGGCATTATTTTAAGAATCCGCGCCAGAGAACAGGTGGTGACAGAAGGTTAATCTAAGGAGAGTCCCTGACTGGTCCCCAGCTAAACCAGGCAGGGCTGCGGGCAGGAGGGGGGCCTGCAGCCAGGACCAGGGACAGCGCACCCCGCACACACGCACTCCCGGAACCCACTCGCTCTCCGCCTCTACGCGGTCCCACGGCAGCCTGGTGGCCCATCCGGACCTGGCGGAGACGGCTGGAGGGTCGAGCTCGCCCCGCAAGCGTGGCGGCTGGCCGAAGGCGACCGGGGACGAGCCCCGTCTCCCGCTTCCCACTGCCCCGGCAGCCCGAGAACTCACCAATCCGCCAGGCACAGGGCGTGCAGGAGGGCGAAACTGGCCACGGCGGACAACGCGAGCGCGGGCACCTTCTTGGCAGAAACCATCTTTGCCACATGCCATACTTCAAGCCTGTTCCCGTTTCCAGGCTCCGGAGATGCCCCGCGCGGGTGGCGAGCGCAGAGGGCAGCGCGGCTCCAGCGGCGTGCGCACACTCGCGCTCCCTCTCTCCG